CATCGGCGTCGGCGGGCGTTTTTCCCTCCCGCTTGCACACACTCACGTTGTCGTTCAATTTTTATAGGGACCGAAATTTGGCGTTGGCCATCTCCAAATACTCTTAGCACACTGCCACAATCAAAGCCTCACTTATGGCGCGAAACCTGCCTGACACAAAAAAACGCGGTAACATTTTAGCGCCAAAGCGCTTTGTGGTTCTAATAAATTACATTTTTGAACTGTTGTAGTAATTTTTAAGGAAATTGTAATATTATGTATGATTGTCATTCTATTGTTATAAACAAAACCGCGAGGATAACGTAATTTCTTTTAGAATGTATAAGGTGGTATTTTACTTTTTATAAAAAACATATTTTCGTAATAGTAGAGGTAATTAATAGCTATAATCTGACCATAACATGAGTTTAATAAAATTATATAAAGCTAAATAAAGTCAAATACCATACTTTTAAGATTTGATGTATGCGTTAGAAATCCTATAATACTACATCCAGCCTACGAATTCGATATTCGTCACCTTGAAAAAACATATCAACAATAGTAAGCTATTACTTATACTTATTACACTAAGGTGTACAAGTACAATTGTCTTTTTAAAAAATAATTATTACCTCGTTGTATATAACGTTAGTTAACATGTAGGTAACACTACGGGTATCTTTTGTAATGAGCAAGTTTCCTAACCTAGAAAATCTAATCTTCCACATTGAATGTCGTGTTTGTATTCGCATTGGGCGTATTAATTCTTTATCCCTATACATTTGACTATGTTTTAACATACTTATTTGATGTTGTCATGCGAATAGTAGAGCGATTACGTAGTCCTTGTTGTTTTGTAGTCTAGGGTCTGACGGGAACAAGTGAGTCACGTGTTTCACGTAAATGATTTATTTATGCCCTGTTTATGAATAACTCTATCAAACTGTTTCGTGAATTAAAACTATGTTATAACATACATTCTAAGTATGTACCTATAGATGTTTGAAAATAATGTTACTCTCTACAAAGCAGAATAGAGGAGCGCAAAATATTTTTTTTAAAGTCAACGCTATGTGTCACTATCGTTCCGCCTAGCATGATGGTCACAGCCTTGATTATTTCTTAAACATTTAATTTTAATTTTTTGTGGATTTAAACAAAACCAAATATTGCATTCCAGAGAGTAGGCAAAAGATACAAAGCTAGACTTGTCAGAGTCATAGTAGTTAACTAGCTTTTGTCCGCGACTCCGTTTGCGTAGAATAAAAGAAAGCATTTGGCATAATTATTATCTTCCAGATTATCCCCTACATCTATGCCGAATTGTAACGAAATCCGTTCAGCAATTTAGGCTAAAAACGCTAACAGACACCCATTCAACATAAAGTCTCACTCACAGTTGTTAAACACACAACTGTTTACATAATAATTACTCAGAATCTATTCTATACTAATGTGATAAAGAGGAAAGATTTGTATTTTTGTGTTGTAATAACTCAAAAACTACTGGGACTATTTAAAAATTCTTTTACCTTTTGAAAGGTAATTTATCAGTAAGTCATATTTTTTTAAATTTTACTTGGACGAAGTCACGAGCAACAGCTTAGGCATCAGTCAAAAATATTTGTTCTAAAAGTCTAGCTTTATAAGCTGATATATTTAGGACAAACAAAAATTAACGGTCTCCAATAAAATAGTTCAATAAGTATGAATAAAATGTCTAAATATTAAATGTACTGGAATGCAGTGCGACTACCAGCAAGTAATGCAACGGTAAGCGATGAGAGTCGCATTGCCGGTCGATTACTTACCATCCAGAGTGTAATCTAAACTGAAACTTGGCTAATATTATTTTATTACGTAGATGTTTTAATCTATGACAATACATCATTACTAATTTAGTATTATTTTAGTATTACGTGGATGTTTTAATCTATGACAATATTTCATTACCAATGTAGTATTATATTTTAGATCGGTTCTTAGGGTTAATTCAGATATGACAATTATCCGTAGGGAAAAGGCAGTATGACAATGTTTTATAGCTGAAAATTTGCTTAGCTGACGCCTTAAATTAAGAACTTTTTGGCCTTGGTTAACTCCTTTAACAATTACGTATCTGATAACATAGAAATCGTGAAGTGGAAGTTACTAGGCATGCCGTATCAAGATAGTAAATCCGATGGAAATTATCGAAACAATGTCGAAAGGTTTCTTTGCTCGTTGTATAACGGGAAAGAGATGTATCTTTTAAGTATCTTTACAATCATTGATCCAAACGTTTGAATTGATCTTCGTGGTCTAAGTTTTGTTTGCCAGTGTAGATTCTTGATAGATTAATAATCTATTTGTTTTTATTCTGTATGATCACTAAATGGTCACGTATATAAATGAAAATTAATGATAGAAGTACCACCAATAATTCTAAGTCTGCTTTCAATTGTCTATTAAGCTCAACAAACACTAAACAAGATAGGTAAAGGAAAAAAGTATTAAAAAAAAACGAAGTTTATATAGTATACTAAAAATAACCAGCAGTACTAGCTTGTGTCCGCGATTCCGTCCGCGTGGAATAAAAAAGACAAAAGTAAGTAGCCTATGTATTCTTTCAAACTATCCTTTACATCTATACCAAATTTCATCTAGGTCCGTTAATCTCTTTAGGCTACAGATTCTAACAAACATCCATCTAAACTTCCGCATTTATAATCTTAGTGAATATCTTTATTCATTTAAAAAGGTAATGTTTAATTTTAATTTATTTCTCTTTAGTAAGGGTTGGTGTTGGCAGGTCGCCGAACGTAAAATACTTATTAAGGTTTATAAAGCCACACCACACTTGACAACACGAAGGCAAGTTGTCCAGCAAACAAGCCACCTCATTATCTCATTATCGTTGAGATTGTTTTTGACAGAACTTTCTCATTCATCCGCGCTCTCAGACAAAGTGGCGCCAAATTCCAATAGAAATTTACGGTTTTTTAAGTATTTATTTTATCAACACCTTTCTTTGGATTTAAAAAAAAAATAATATTGGCTTTTTTTTAAATTTCCCATAGTTCATTAAGCAATTTAATATTTGAAAAGTTACATTCACGTGAACTAAGAAATCAATGTCCAAAAATATTTTTCCTGGAATCATGTTTGTACTACTTATCTCTTAAACGGATAACAGATCTCGATGAAAATTTCCACAGATATGGATTATAGTCTGGAAGAAGAAATATGCTACTTACTCTTTTTTTTAATTCCAGGCTGACAGAGTTTCACACAAAAGCTTAAAGGTTATAAAACCATAGATATATGTAGATGTGGATTTAAAAAAAAACCATAGATAAAATTTTACATTGCACAGTTTATAAGTGTAGCGAATTTCTAAAATATTATACAACAGTAACAACTTATACATTATTA